TGATTTCAGAAGCGCTGAACTTGATACTGTTCTCCCTTTTTAGGATTTCTTATCTATCAGTCGGATACTCCGATCATTCGCCATTTTGGATTTTCCATTGACAATTCCAGTGTCAATACTTTGTACTACCATTCGCTGTCGTGAGCTGTGTTGTGTGACAATTCCCGATCTGGTGTATTTACCTGCGCCTGGATTAATAGGAGTATCATGAACAACCACCTCACAACTATTAGTGTTGAAGAACTTCCGTGTCAGAGGTGAGGGTCAGTTCCATTGTTCAATAATGGCTACGAAACGTGGGCGTAAATCTAACAGAACAGTCTTATCAATTGGGGGCACTCGCTCGTAAGCTCTTTTACTCGCTCATTTTTGGCTTTTAAATTCCGGAGGAATTTCATCCCCCAATTTTAAAATCTCCTTTTTATTTTTAGCTTGTTTCATACATGTTATTCAAAAATTTTTTTTTAATATATTAGATGTGTGTAAATTGGGGTCAAACTTCTTAACAGGGTCCTTTCATGAGTCAAGTCACTGATCTGTAACGGTTCAGAGTCCAGAGTCTTCTCATTGGTTACCCTGAAGTCAAGTTTGTCCTTTGTAGTATGCTAGCTGTGAGTCAGTGTCAGAGTCAAGTCACTTCTCTAGAACCTTCCGAGTCTCTTAGAGTCAAGTACTTCTCTATACTCTTACAGAGTCTAGCCCCATCATTCCTGGCTTCTCTGGCATCAGCGAGTCAAGTTGCTTCTCTGTTCATCAGAGTCAAGTGATTTCTCCTGTTCCGGAGTCAAGCCCAGTTCACTTTACTTCGCTTCTCTGATTCACAGAGTCAAGCTTGTCGCAAGTAAGTTTTCAATAGTTTGCTTATGAGTGAGTAGCCTCCGTTACGCCAAAGAGATAGTTACACCCAAGAAATTGTTTTGGCTACAGAAGACTTCTCAACATTATTAATAAACAGCTTTATTAGTAGTCAAGTCTTGCATTGTTTTTTGTATAAATGTAGGATTTAAAGAGCTGACGTTATCATTTTTTGACATGTTGAAAAATTCTAAACAGACAGCAGTGTAACATACATCATAGGAATGCAATGCAGCTTCGAAAAACAGTGTTGATTATCTACTAGATGTTCCTGATGAGGCAGATATACATCAAAAGTTGTAGATGTCAAAGTGGTTTTACAAAAACATAAATATTGACATAAAATCTCCATAAAATAGTATTTTTTAATTTTAGATAACAGATTCCAAGGTTCTGGGTCTGAAAAAGTTTTATTTCCAAAGTAATCAACAGAAATGTTTAGGTAATGAATTTTATACATCTGAAGATTTCTCAGTTGAGATCTCTTTTGTAAAGAAGTTATAAATCACAGTTGGGGTGAGAAAAATCCTTATAAACTTGAGTTATTGCGCACTTGTGGCTATGTCAATAGATGGAAAATAGCGATCTGACCAGTATCCATGGCGACCAATCCTAAACAATAATTGACAATTATAGGGATGGGAAAAGGAACCCTAAGTCGACGGTAATTTGCCATGCCATAAACAGTGATTGTTCTTGTGACGCACAGAGCATGCATGCATAAACACAACAACAATTTCCTTCCTTGTTTTTATTTGTCTCTTTATAAATCAACGGTTGTCAATTACTTTGATATTTTCTTCTCGATTATGTTATTTTGATCAGACTTGCACATATTTACTTTTTTAAAAAAGGTTATATCATCACACTGCATTGCGTGAATGATATTTATAAAACAAGTGAAAGGAAAAAGGAATTTATTACTTTGTAAAGAAGAAACATAACCGACAGCCCTATTACCATTACAATGAGGTTTTCACAGAGGAGCTTTACCAAGCATAGAGTTCAGGTTTATGCAGAGAAAGTGTTTTTTTTTTACATGCTACTTATCTGAACATTAAATACAGTTCTAAACATGCTTTGCTGAATACAAAGTAACAAAGTAGTACCAGAAATCCCATAAATAACCCTGAATATAAACATCAAACTTTACAGAAATTAAAGTTAGAAAAATTCAAAAGATTGTGGTATGTACAAGCAACCATTAGAATTTCACTTAAATCTGAGATCAATCTCATTTTTTCCCCTGAAAACAATTACCCTATGCATGTTTGATGTTTATAGAGGGGTGACGAGGGAATTTTTTTTGAGATTTACACATACAGCAAAATTGAAAGATAAAAAGAATTTAAAACAATTAAAAAATTATTCATAAGGGGATATAGCTAGGTAGAAATATTTTTATGAAAAGGAAAGGGATATCTTTTTCCCTGAAAAGTCATTTCTTGTCAATCAAGAAATGTTTTAAGGATGACTTAACACCTACAATATATATAAATCAAAACCTTATGTGATCTTTGAAGTGACTTAAAGGTCAGACTGCAGTATTAAACCACTAAACAAGCAAACTACAACTGAAGAGGCATTTTAACATTCTTGAAAAACTAACAAAAATCAAATTTTTAAAATGTCTGTTATCAAATTTAAATTTGTGTCAAAGAGTTTTAAAGCTTCCTTAAAATGTTGCTTTAGGGACCAATTACATATTTTTTCCCGATTTTGAAAACTGTCCATTGATCCTTTCCACAAATAAAGTGAACATTTTCTGAAGCTTGTTAGAAATAACGAACATTTAAGGGAAGTGTGGGTGTTTCCACCATTATAGGTGATCCCAAAGGCTTCTACACATTTTTCTGACATTAATTAACAATTCAAAACCATCATGCCTCCACAAAGTAAACGCTTTCCATAAATAAAACATAAAATTACAACTCCAACCCATAGTTTCCTTTAAATGACGTGTCAAATTTAAGCATAATAGGGTTTTACGTACCCTAAGGTCCATTAAAATTTTGAAAACTTTCAGTTTTGTTTGACTTAAGTAAAACTCAGGTACAACCCTTGATTTACCATATCAATAAAAATCGAGCATCTGGCATTTTGTCACCAATACTCAATATGCAACGGCTGTTCATCAGAAATGCTAAGGTAGACCATTGTGTTACAAGGATAACAGCCACTGTTTGGCCTGAAGGTTAAATGTTACTGCAAAGGTCAAATATTTTTACAACATTAATTTTAAGTTTTTTTTTCTTTTTAGATTTCAGTGATGTTTAAAGAATTATATTCCAATACAATCATTCATCAATTATGTTAGTAGTGTAACCTTTTTGGCCAGACCATGAAGGCAGTATCTTGCAGTGTTTTTCACATCATTCTAAGTGAGTGATGTAGCATCACTAATTATTTCATCCAAAATTCTGACACAGAATTGCTATTTATATGCTTAAGACAAATGCTGTTCTATTTTCTGTCAAAATTCTCATTAATAAAACATCTTGACTGAACTGAGACTGAGCAGACGGCCGATAAATCAGACATATTCCTCCAGTGAGACTTACACACCTATGAGGTCAACTGGAACAATCCTTATAAAAATACTTGGCTATTCCATTGTGCTTATTCAGGGGTGAGCAAGCTATAAACTTCAGATGCCAATAATCAAACTAAGAAGATCAAGTACATTCAATTCTTCATATTCCAACACAGATGCTTTGTTAAAGCAAAATAAAACATGATTTTCCTTTCTCAGGGCAACAAAGGTCGTTGATCCCTGTGATGTTTGTCTTTTTCCAAAGTTTTCCTTTTTGTTAGCAGTGAGACTTGTCTTCATTAGGTACAGTTGTTCTGAGTGCCTTCCAAGTCTATAATACAATAACCTGTATTCTTAACCAAACACTTTCTAAACCCTCTCTAACCTAAACCATCAAAGGTGAATCGGACATTTTTTTCATGCAAAACATTTTTGTAATGATGTAATACTTATCATAACATAGTACGCATTAACAGTACCTACATCCAGCTTTGTAGCCAAAAAACAAAAGATTCCAAAATTACACCTTCCCTATAGTCCCCGAGCCACTATGATAGAGACAAAGAATTATCTCCCTTCCTTGAAAACCTGTATGGAGCCCAAAAGAGGGACAGCAAGGCCGAGAAAGAAAAAGGAGGATATGGCGAATCTCTATGAAGTCATAGTACATATTACATTATGAAAATTGGTTTTACTTGAAAAATCTTGATTTAAATTCAGTAATAATTACCATTACAGTAGTATGCAAATTTATCTTACTGTAGTAGAGACTTCAAGGCCAGGCAGCCTGTCACGGCCCATCACAACCAAGATAAAACTTCAGGTAGGGAGTGAAAGGTTAAGGAACTCCCTGCCCACTCAAAAACAGTGCCAGATTTAATATCAGCAAGTACCTCCCCCGTGAAGGAGTAGGTGCCCCAATGTGGTGACTAAACTCAAAAGAATAAAAAATACCCCAGATTACTGAGGAGGCACAGCCACAGACTGAGCCATCACCAAAGGTCCAAGAGAGTAAAGACCCTTAGAATGAGAAGCCAAGGACCTCAAATAGAAATTTGTGAAAGTATTCCTGTCACACCAAAAGGCAATGGACATGACCTCCTAAAAGGAGGACCCATTGAAAAGGGTCCTAAACTTATGAGCCTGCACCTTCAATCTTGCCCTGAGCATGATCAAATCCACCTTGAAACCTGAGCCTGGGGCGGGCCACTCTGTCCGAAGGATCACCGCTCCCACCAGGTGGAAACCCAGACATGTATGGGCCAGACCTGTAACTGCCTGGATACTGCTGGACTCAAAACCATCTGTAGAATGGTTTGGGCGGTCTGAGGATGGTTGCCCCCAGGCACCCGCATACCCTGCGCCAGAGGGAAAAGGAGACGAGAAACTAGTCACCTGGTCGGCAAACCCAGCCCTCCTGGGGATAAACCCCTTGGGCAACGCTAAACAGGCAACTCTAGACCAGGCTGAAAAGAACAGGAACCAGGAACCTGAGCATGCAGGAAAACCAGTCCAATATTGATGCCAGTATTAACAAGCTGTACATCACTAATCCCAGTAGGAAGAGACAATCGAAACAACTCAAAAAAACAAGTCCTGCATCAAGGCTGCTTCAACCAACAGCACCACCTAGTTTGCTGGGATTAGTGACAGGCGGTCGGAAGTCCCTACCTGAAGGCAAACCAGAAGGTTTTTAAGAAATCCTGGCCAATTCGACCCTAGATTGTGCCAAGCAAGGGATAAATCACCAAAAGGCTCAGAGCTGGAGACAAAACTCCTAACTGGCTTCTCTTGCCTACTGTAAGTAGATGACGAATCTCTCTTACGACAGGAAGAAGATTGCTAGGAAGGCTAGGATGTCTTGACTTGAGACTCCCTGTGAACAAAGTTTACATGAAGTAGCCTCACTGCAAGTATGACAAAATGGGCAAGCATTATGGGGGTTCCGGTCTCCAAAGAAATGGGAACCACTTGCGCCATACCCTGTCATAATCCCACCTGAAACATACTAACAAACAACAGCTAAAAAATTGTAAATAAGTACAGAAAGTTTTGAACAAAAATAACTCAAAACTTTCAGGCAAGCAACAGAAACGAAGAAAAACAATGTAAATGAAGCTAGCAAAAAGGAAAAAGCCAAAAACAAACTGAGCAAAAAAACATGACTGAGAAAGTTAAGAAGTGGCTGAAAGGCAAGAAAATGAGAGAACTCATCTGAAACACATTAGCCCACTGAAGGTCTTAAAGGAAAGAGGAAGGGAGATCACTCTATGTTCCTGTTGTAATGGCTCATGGAATCGTAGGGAGGGTAGGATTATTTGAATCTTTTGTTTTTGGGATACAAAGTTGGGTAAAGCTATTAACTCTCGATTACTCAATCAATTTTACAAATATCAACATCAATATCAATATCAACTGGTGTATTGTGATCACATCTATGATGTCACTAACTATATTGATTATTTCTAAAATATTTGTCCTGAAGAATCTTTACGATTCTTACTGTGCCTGATTTTACAGACTTTTAGATAGGTCATTAATGATAGATGTCAATGGTTCCATGTTTCTACGCATTCCACCATATTTTCCTGTCTCAGAGATTCCTCTGCAAACCAGGGCAATGCTAGTTTGATGTTGATGCAAATCTCAATCTGAATATTTTCATTATCTGTCAATTTTGTTAAGATTTTGGTATTATACATGATTGTCTCATTGTGACAGTTCTCATGAAAGACACCATTTTGAAAAGATTTTGAAAGATGGTGACATAGTTCATAGCATACAACTGCCGCTAGGGGGAATACGTCCCCCAATCAGAAAACTGGGATTGGTAATATCAGATATTTCCAAAGGTTGTGACAATAGGCTGAAACTGCAACTGTTTCACGTTCAGCCATGATAATCGAGACTATAATGTACACACCTGATAGACAGCTGTCTAAATGCTACCAATAGCCCACAGCTTACAGTGATTGTGCTGCGATTGGGTTGATAACCGGGTTAAATGGTACAACTTCCCACGCACACATCATGTTATTCAAGCGAGGACAGACCACATCAAGATTCTTCACAGATCTGTTGTAATGAGGTCTAGAAACTTTATTTCGGCTGTTTAATTAAAACATTACCACAGATAGCCATATAAAGAAATTTTTAAAGTCTGCAGGGATATTTAAGTATTGAAAATGTCTTTTCCACCTATAACGATGACAAGTGTTGATAGACAAAATCTATTTCGTGAAACAGTATTCTGATCAAAATGAAGCCCTCAAAACCCTATAGGGAGATATTATGAAGGACAAAGCCAAAGAATTAGAACTTTATAAATATCACCTTTTTTCTAGTACAACTCTCTTTTTAAGTAAATGAAAAATGTGCGTATAAGGGATTAGAACTTTCCTTTTTACAGGAGATAAAATAGTATGCTTCATTGATCTCAAAATGGTAAAGATGGATTTTGAACATATGTAGCATCCTATGGCATATCACGGATTTACAATTCAGACACATTGAGATTTTAGCCATTTATGAAGTTTTATAGTTTGAATCATATTCTTGTAAAACATGTCTGCTGAAATTTGGATATTGACAAAATAATATTTCAAGACAATGATATTGATGTACCATGCCAGTTAGTAAAGTCAAGTCTGTTTATTTGATAGACTGCTCTGATAAATAGAGTTGAAGAGGGATACATTTATAAAAATGATCTGACATGTCCCAATTATTTCTAAAGTACACAAAATCACAAATGACACATACAATGTACCTGCACTCCTAAGCCCAAGATGAGGAAAAGATTTCAAATCTCTGCAGAGTCCATCCCAGAGATTTTAACCAATATAGACAATGTATACTTTACAGAGATTTAACATTCTGAAAATTAAATATCAGCAGACTGAACGTAGAAAAAACCTCAGATTTAATGATGTATAAGGACAAATTCAGATTAAAATAATAATAATTTAACAGAAAAATAACAAAGATTACAAAAAGAAAACCTGAAATAGCTTGTAATGAATATCTGATATATAAGTACATTTATTTTCTAAATGTCAATAACAAGATTTTAAAGGTACAAGCTTTTACTTGTCAGATCTATTTCAACTATCTGTGAAACACTTTGTACTAGAAGTGCAAGGAGCCTCGAAGTGTGGCTTTATCCCGTGTGTCTGGCAGCTGGTGTGAACATCCAGACAGAAACATGTATAGCTACCAGAAAGTTAGTAATATCATATTGATGAAGATTCTCTGTGGTTTCTCTTTATTGATTTCCATTGTTGAGTTTAAGAATATTATGAGGATTACAATCAACAACAAGGAAATACCAACATGTCAACATCATGATAATCTAAACTCATATCATTGAAACCTGGGACAAAAAATAAAGGACAAGGAGAATAAGACCAGGTGTTCTGGAAGAGTAAGCATTGATGTTATTGCTATACTGCTTCCAAAGTCAGGTAAGTCGGCGGATTTTGCTTCATCGATGACACCTGTCACGTAAAAATTTGTCAATCCAATAAGTAAAAGTAATGTCACGCTCCCAAATGAGAACATGGTCTACAACAACGGAACCAACAAGCAGACTAACATACATCAAACACAGTCAATTTCATCATGTAGATTCATACCACACAAAGAAATAAAAAAGAAATTTCTCAAATGATAACAGTGTAATTGAAATGTGATTACTAGCCTCTATTTGCTCAAATATCAATTACAAGCAATTTTCTCAGTAGACAAAAGTTAATGAAATTTTCCTCAGATGTAAGAGCTATCAGAATATTTATTTACAACCTGTTTTAGATTACTGATAGATAAACAAGGACCTTAAATCTTTGAAAATTTACTTTTTAATGATTTCTAGCTATAGAAACAGCAATGGAAATTTTTTTCCATTAGCATTATAATAAGGATTTTTCCAATCCAGGATTTTTCCAAAGCAGGTTAATTTAACTGCAAACAAATTTCAGTCATTTACCTTTTTTGAACAGAAAATTAGGTATTTACATGTAGACTATCTAACAGCTCTACATGAATATATTTGTATTTTCTTCTCATTTTTTTTATAAACACACATTTAGAAAGTGATATAAATGTTTCTACAGCCTACTAGTAGTAAACTACTTGTCAATATAATTGCTATAGACAACAATAAAATACAGTCAAACTTTGATGTTTCAAATTCATGGACAACCAAAAAAAATTTGATACATTAAGAATTTGAGTCACGTGTGGTAGGATATATTGACGTTTTCATGTTCATAGACATATACAGTTGATTACATTTCTACCTGAACAAACACAACAAATACAAAAACACAAGTTTAAATGAATAGATGCATTTTCATTCATGAAAAAAACAACTTTAAATAGTAATCAACTAGAAATTGAGAAATCGATCCTTCATGTCACATGGTAAATGTATTTTACAGGCTGATTTTAAATGAAACAACATGCAGCATTAAAGTGGTCTTCACGTGTTACAGTAATTATTTCAAGACTGATACATAAACATTAAAGGCACAAATGAATTTTAAAGAGAGTAAAATTAATATCATAATGCATTCTGTCCAGAAACGAGAGCACTAACATCACACATCTTCAGTCGTAGAAATTACAAGTGTTAGCCGATATTCTGATGATGGCTAGCCTGGACAATCGGAGAATGCATGACAGACAGATCAATCACTATGTTTCTTATGCTTTTGAGTTTAAAAGTAAAAAGAGATGCTTTGGGAATGAGTGAAACCATCATACAAGTGATAGGATTTCCTCCGATTGTTTTTAAATTCCGTAAATTAGACTTAACTAAATGCCATTACCACAATGGTGGTTGTGAACATCACATGACATCCCATTCATCTTTGATTAAATATCATGGCTTACAAGTTAGCAGTTAAATTTTAATCTGTGTCCAGTCATCAATTATCCTCATAACACAAAGCTAATGAGAGCAGGCTATCGAAATTCCATTGTCAGATTGAAATGTGTGAAATTTTGCCACTGGGTGAAAATACCTGTACAGTGCAGGTAAATGTTTTGCTTGAATCATGAGGTGTTAATGAGTATGTTATATCTTATGGTACATGAAAAACTTTGATACACTGAAAAGTTCATTTCATTTCAGTAATAATTACCATAACTTTAGTATGGATCGAGAGCCCCGCCCTCTGTGGGGTACTCCATAAAGGTTATTAGAGGAAGGGAGATCACTCTATGTTCCTGCCGTGATGGCTCATGGATTGTAGGGAGTGTGGGATTATTTGAATCTTTTGTTGTTGGGATACAAAGATGGGTGTAGGTACTGTATTTGCATACTAAAGTTATGGTAAGTATTACTTCATGAAAATTGGTTTTACATGAAAAAAACCTCAAATTTATAAAACTTTGATTTGTAAGGGGGCAACTTAGTAGTAATATGTAGGAATAAAAGTTGGGGCCGAACAAAAACTTTGATATATAGATGAATTCAAATAATCAAAGTTTGATTCATAGAAGTTTGACTGTACTACATTTTTCCTTTTAAGTTTTTGAGATAGAAATAGGTCATTCGGGGTCATTTTCTTTTGAACTTTACCAATTTGGTATCAGTTAGTTTATTTCATTTCTATTTCCAATTACTTTACATTATCAGCTTTTTAGTAAGAAAATATAATACATATACT